CTGACGTTTGGGCCCTCGTGGAGCACAGATTTGGTCCCCCTGCCCGAATTCAAGGACAGTCCGATCATATCCAGAAAACACAACCTCATGTACTGCCCAGTGGGCAAAGTCGCCTCGTCCTTCTTTACCAGGTTGGTGCAGTTGTCCATTCCTGGTCATTAATGTATCGTCCATGTCTGTCCCATGACCCCTGTTCTTATCATACACAAAAATTACTTGTGTATCCTTCACAGGACGTTGCAGAACCAGCTTCATCATATGTTTGTTTTTACGCGAGTATGGAAAACATAATTTTCTTAGAATTTCTTCAAGAGACCAAACCTAAAACAGTAGTACATAATAAGCAGTGAAAGATGAGCAGTAAAAGATGGGAAGCGTAAGCTAGTTATAGACAGTTTCCGAGACAATTTAGCAGAAAATATGAAGGAGGCCTGGCGGCAAGAGAACTGCTATATGGTTTGATACTAGAATGGATGAATGACATGTTACAACCACTCGATATCTCCATTAATAGATTAGATCTTTTAAGGCTCACTTGAAACGTTTCTATCGTGACTGGACACGCAGATCGACGGAAGTGACTCCAACAGGGCGTTTAAAGAAAACCGTGGTTAAAATGAACGCTAGACAGCGGCGCTATTCGAAGCAGAGGCAAATTTTTTGCTTCTGCCGGACGGTGGCCGAAGTATTTTTGCTCCATTTGTCGCCCAGCTTCTGAGTTGAATGCATGGCGTGACCCTGTGAGCTGCGGATTGCATTTGGAATGTTTTTTCGACTGTGACCAACGTGGTGGTGTGAATTGTAGATTCAGAAAATGGCGCGATGCCTGTCGTGCAATGTTGGCGGTGCCCCTATGTGATTACAATTGATCGCGTGGGCAGCTGCTGATCTGTTGGCGACAAGTTCCGCTATCATCAATGATGAACTACATTTCTAATGTTGGACTGTTTGTGTTAGCACTTCGGATGGCTACCATATGCTTTAATGTGAGTGTATGCTAGATATGCTGAGACAGCAGTCTGTCAATCTTTCCACAAGGGACTGTGAAAAACATTCTGAGTGTTTTTCGTTGGCACAGGAGCGGAGCAAAGATGGGGCGACCCGTTTGCTATGAAGCTGAAACTAAGACTACCAGACTACCAAAGAAAACCGTCATCCCAGTTATGTGAGTGACTGTGTCTGCATAGAAAGTAACAAGTAGATATAATATATCTTCAATATAAGTCGCACCATATTTTTTATTATCTAAAGTATATTTGTTTGTGAAAGCAATGGCAAACTACTGGACGAAAATTTGCCTAGAGAAACCACACAACAGCCAGGGGCTGCTGGGGTTGGTTCTGCAACGTCCTGTAAAGGATATGCAACTAACCAAGTTTGTTTGTGTCCACAGACTGGTTCTGGCTATCGACAACCCCGGACCGTTGACGTCACCATTGGACATTCCAATCGAAGACGCTGGTCGAGCTCGCTGCCAGAATCTCAAGTCTCTTGGCTCTAAATCCAACATGGTCGCCTTCTTACGGCAATCTACCAAAGTTGTATTTGGCAGAAATCCATTTTCTAGAATATACTCAGCCTACATCGATAAACTATTTTCCCCCAACCCATTCTACTGGACTTATTGGGGAGAAAAGGCACTAAACTTAACAAGGCACCAAAAGGCGGGAAACCTTGTGCATCAGACGTCACCTTTCCGCAATTTCTTCGCCTGGTCTTATTTAGTCTTCATAAACACGACGTCCATCTTCGTCAAGTCTATGACGAGTGCCACATGTGTGAACTAGTCTATGACGTTATAGGGACTTTGGAAACGATGGCGGAAGATTTAGATTATATTCTAGGGCATTTAAACATTTCATCATCATTTCAACATGAACCATCTTATTCTTTAGCTTCCAAGATGGACATTGTATACGACTCTGTCCAAAGTACATTTTCTTGGAAGACAGATATAGCTCGCTGTATATCCTTAGATCAAATGGGAATACGAATGTGGCGAAAGCTGCAAATACGAGGTGTGATAGACAGTTCAATACGATATCCATTCCGGTCTGGACAAATTGACAATTTACATTCCAGTGAATTTATTAAAGCTTGCAAACAAGCGATCCTGATGTCAAATGACTACAAGAAATTGAAGAAAAACAGAAGAGACAAGCTTTAGTTGAAGCTTATAAGACAGTTAGCCGCCATGACCTCGTTGTTGTTGGAAACATCTACAAAGATGACTTCCGCGTGTTTGGATACAACCCAAAACCCGCAGATATTTTTGAGAAACAAATAAAAAATACAGGGTCGTTAAACTGGCGGACTGATTGGATATTGTAGATATCTTCTTTCGGCTATCCTCCAAAAAACGGTCCCAAATTATCAAGCCTAAGAAAATAACCCTAACAGGGCCTCAGTCACATGTAAATTGCGGACCTCTTTCCGGCGACTATACCGCAGCAGCCAAGAGTTTCAAATGAACCGCTACGCGCGGCGCGGAGGTGGGGGCTAACTAGATAACTGGGACTGACGAGCAAAAAAATGGGGGAAGCTGCAGGAGATGTGGTAGCTGCTGCTCGTGAGTCCTAGCCATCTAATTAGCCCCCCCTCCCCTCCGCGCCGCGCGTAGCGACGCAAGGAAACTCTCGGTGGTGACTTTAACTCGGCGGAAGCTTTTCCGCGGTACGCTGTGTAGTCGCCGGAAAGAGGTCCTCAATTTACAAATGACTGAGGCCCTGTTAGGGTATTTTCTTAGCCTCGATAATTTAGGGCCGTTATTATGAGTAAAGCCCTTCTTTCTTTGTTCATCCTACAAGTAATTTGTTGCGACAACCTATGTACTTGTAATTTTTATCACAATAGTTGTTTTAAATACATTGCCACAACCTGAATGTTTATATAATTCCCCAACCTGAATATTTATATATTTCATTTTTGTCACAACATGTTTATTATTATCATCAGGATTTGTGTCTGTGTGTGTGTTTGTGTGTGAGGGGAAAAAGGTGGAGGGGGTGTTTTACAACAAGAATTCGTGTAATTTATTATCACAACCATCGTTTTTATTATTTACTATCAAAACCATGGTTTATGTAATTTGCTATAAAAACCATGGAATATGTAATTTACTGACACAACCATGGTTTATTTAATTGACTATCACAACCATGATTTTGTAAGTCATTGTAAAAAAACAACATTCTTGTCATTGACTGTTGAAATTATATTTAAATAATTTATCAGCATCATCATTTTCAGCAAAAGTCATTGATGAGCACTGGTTTTATATAGTCCTAGTTCAGATAGTCTGTTGAAGACCTGCTAGTGACCGTTTTTAAATCCGTACTGTTGTATGGAGGAGAATCACGGAGAACAACTAGGGCAATTACTAATAAACTACAAACATTCATTAACTGGTGCCTGCATATAGAATAGTGGGAATTAAATGGTAAGATAGAGCCACTAAAGTGGAGCATTTAGAAAGAACTAACCAAGTTCAAATGGACCAAGAAAGGAAGAAAAGTATTATCTGTTAGCAAGATTTGGTAATCTCATTTCTTAATTTGATAACCGGCTCTGTTACTCTGATCTGAGAGACTCCCTGTCTGTTTTACCGACTGAACAGCTGAACAGGCAGCATAGCTGAAGAAGCTATCCATTTCAGTTCTGTTAGATCGTTGGTTGTCCCAACTAAATTTGATGTAAAGTACTGTGACAATCGCATGCGATGTAACATACAATTACAAAGTGTATTGCTGTACTGTCGCTATCAAGGTCCGTGGGGTGAAGTGTGCTGTTGTGTGGTGCTTTTTCTTGGAGTGTTTCATCTATTGTCTTCTAATCCTAACCCTAACCCTAACCCTAAACTTGGCTGTAGATAAATCGCGAGAAACTACAACCTGAACACCCTAGAATGTATTGGGAATGTCTCCCGTGACGTTGTCGTGACGTCAGGGGTAAGTTATAAATTAAGTACCCAATATTTGTTTATGTAATGATCACGCTGAATGTGTCTCTGGTTTATCATCATCAAGAATACTTTCATTTATTATAGGTAAGTTGCGTATCCTTTACAGGACGTTGTAGAACCAACCCAAACAGTCCCTGGCTGTTGTGTGGTTTTTTAGGCAAATTTACGTCCAGTAGTTTGCCATTGCTTCCTGAACGGTCAGCTTTCTTGATACCACTGTCGAAACCAACGCAAGGCGCATGGCCCGCAGCTGGGATCGAACCCGGCATCCCGGCATTACGAAGCGTTCGCATCGACTTAGCCACAGAGCCGACCTTTCATTTACTACAATCACGAATACTCTTGTTTACTAACATCCGGAATAATCTCATTTGCTATTCCACTGAATATTCCTCTCATTTATTATCTGCATCAAGATTTATCTTTTTTGTGGGCAAAATCTAGTTTCTTCTAGTATACTCTCGTTTCATTCTTCTTCTTCTTCTTCACTTCCTTTTTTACCGCTGTGGGTGTCGAGGGAGAAATAAGGTTCTGTTTCTAGCTCTTCTGGCTGCCGAGGGACCATATAAGCACATTGTGCTGTTTGTAGAGTTTCTCTGATGTTATCCTTCCATCTTGTTCTTGGTCTACCCCGTGCTCTACATCCTTCTTCTCTTTCCATGTATGCTTTGTATGGTATGGTGTCACAAGGCATTCTCTCTAAGTGGGCAAACCATTTCACTTGCTGTCTTTGTATGTAATCCAGAATTGGTTCTGTGCCGACTTGTTCTCTTATGATCTCATTCCTGATTCTTATCTCTTATGGTCACTCCTACAGCCCCTCTCAGACATCTCATTTCCGTGGTTACTAATTTTCTTTTATGGTTTGTTGTGAGTGACCATGTCTGGCACTGGTAGCACAGAGTTGGAATAAATATGCTTTGAATAAGATGTCTCTTTGTGCTGATTGGGATTGTCTTATGCTGTCTCGTTTCATTATCCTCCTAAAAGTGTTTGTAATTTATTTTTTCCTTTCAAGATTCCTTTTATTTATTCTCCCCGCAAAGAATCTATTCATTTAATCTTTCTTCTTATTTTCTCTACTCCTGGAATGTCTGGCAACGTCAGGATAGGAAGAGATCTCTAGAATGGGCCCTTCTGTTTGCTTCGTACAAAGTACTTTTCAGTGTCCCTGATATTTCTGCTTGCCATATTCTGCGTAGTCCAGAAAGTAATGGCAAACTAATGGACGTAAATTTGCCTAGAAAAACCACACAACAGCCAGGGGCATTTGGAGTTGATCTGCAACGTCCTGTAAAGGATACGCAACTAACTTTATATTGTGCGTGGCTGACCTTTGAATCTGTTATCGCTGGATCTGTATAACATTGCTCTCTGTGGTGTCGTGTCTGCTGCCAATCTTGTTACATGGCCCAAACCATTTGGTTTGAAGTAAGCTATAAAATTCAGTATTTGTTCTGTGCCGGCTTTACTCCTGATATTTTCATTTATTGTCAGTATCAAAATTACGGTAATTTATTATCTCAATAAAGATACCTTTTTTTTTAATCATCAAAATACCAGCAGCATGACGACGGAGGTGAGGGCGGTGACACAAGCTTTTATGTGGCTACAATCACAGGAGTATTCCCGCGCGTGTGTGCTGAGTGATTCTTTGAGCATGATCCACCGGGTCGAGGCAGGCTGGTTACGCAGACAGTGGTTTGAGTCATTGCAAAACTCCCCTGTGTGTGCAGTTACCTTCATATTTGTCCCAGGTATGCAGGCGTTGTTGGTAATGCAAGAGCCGATAGACTGGCAGTTGCTGCATTAATTGAAGATGACCGGCCCATGGATCACGCAGACATGGTCATTGCCCTTAGAGAGATAGGACGTGCTGAGGATTTTGGAAGCAACGTGTCCGCATCACTGCTAAGAATACGAGAATTGGGAGTAAAGATCGACACAGCCAAGCATGAGAAGCACACCGGACGCACACGAAGTCTTGTTAACCAACATAGGAATGGCACTCTTACCCGCTCGACGCTGATGAATATGTTGAGATGGGAATCTGAGCGCCTACGGATGTGTCCGGAGTGCTGTGAGGATAATCTAACTCATAACTCGTTAACAATTTAGCCTCACCAAGTTTACCCTGGGTTATTAGTCCCTACTTAGCTAAGTTCCAGATACCGTGCTTAAGCTTGCAGTAATTACAATCGGGACATCCCTGACGGGTACACATGCCAAGGCCGTCTCAAATATAGGCCTTAGGGCTGATGACGTCAGCCTGAAGACGGCCTTTCACCAACCGAGTGTAACCGGGAGTCCCCTATGGGATAAGGACCAGCAATAGAAGAGTGTGTGGCCATGTGATGTTTTACCGCAGTTAAGTTTACTCAGGGCCTAAGTGTTGAAAATGGGCATCGTCACGGGCCAGAGGTTCAAGAACTAGCGAAGTTAAAAGTTAGTTGTGTATCTCTTACAGGACGTTGCAGAGCCAACCCCAGCATTTGTTTGGCTGTTGTGGTTTTTCTTGGCAAATTTTACGTTGAGTAGTTTGCCATTGCCTCTCAATGGTCAGCTCTGGGTACCACTGTAGAAACCAACGCAAGTAAACTGTCCGCAGCTGGGATCTAACCCGACACTTTGGCATTACGAAGCGCGTTCGCAACGCCTAAACCACAGACGCATATGCCCAGCATAGACAGATCAGTGATACATGAAACTGGCAATGATCCGCGGGCCACTCGTTAGGCCTCTGCGGGCCGGATTCGGCCCGCATGCCGCCAGTTGAATAGCTCTGTTTTTTTTTTTTAAGTTATCTACCTTCGTGTGGTTTTTCAGATCTGTGAAATAATTTCAGAACATTATAACTGCCAAATATATATAATTATATTATATTTTTCAATAATGATTTGTTACTGTGTTATTTACTATGAGTTATGTTCACAGTCAGCATGCTCGAGTCGGGCCATGTGTGACTAAGTCCGTCATTGTCAGATCTCATGTAGTAGTAGTGGTAACAATTCCGACTATGATGGCCGATATCTGGCCAACCGCCAACGCTCTGAATAGTTTTTGTTTCCAGTTACGTTTTGCTGATGCAAATTCCCCATTCCTGGACTAGGAGTCCAGAGGTTCCGTCGCTTAATTACTGAGCTGAGAGCTCGAAATTTTTTTGTTTTTCCCCCCTATGTAGGGCCCGCGGCGTGTCTTTGACTGTACTAAAATGACGGGTGGCTGATTATGTTCATAATGGCGTGTACTTTTGTGGGTGCAATGCCGACTATCACGATTGACTGCTTAAGCCAATAGTGAGCTGCAATTCTGGTGTGGCACCGTTAGTTTTGGCACATTTAACAGTTGTTTTTGCGTTCTTTCATTTTTTTTTCCAGCGAGAATGAGGAAGGAGAGAAAGAGAGGGACTAGAAGAAAAACTGACCGATTATCTTTTAAGTTAATTCGTATTGGATATTGGAACAGCGGAAGCGCAAAGCAACAAGCACACACACTGCAGAAAACAGTGTATGACTTTGATATCCTCATGAACCATTAGACCAGAATAAAATGTGGATCGATCATTAAATGTGCAGGATATGACTGCTACAGTGATACATGTGGAACACAAAACCAAGGTCTAGCAATGTATGTTAAGCATAGGGTCCAACATCGATGGCTAGGTACACACAAGTATAACAGCGAAATGCTTGAGATTCAACGGTTAGTTGTTCCCGTAGACCACCACGACTGGTATATCTTCAACGTATACGCGCATATGGACCAACTTCCAAATAAAGGCGCAAGGGAATTCCTAGTAGATTTAGAGGAGTGCAGTGGAAAATGTTTAATAGCTGGTGATTTTAACGCTCGGTCAAAAGAGTGGGGGAAATCAGATAGAAAACAGAAAGGGAGTTGCACAGAGTCAGGCCCTACTAAGGAATAGCTTCACTGTTTTAAACAATAATCGTGCCATAAGATTGGGAGAGAGAGGGCTGGAGGCTCGGATGGAGTGATCGACCTAGCTTTAGCATCCAGTACTGATGCACTCACAATGCGCTGGGATGTTGTTGGGGCACAAGAAAGTGACCATCTGCCATGCGTTGTTCTCATCCCAAAGGGACAGAATGCTAAGCAAATGAAACCAAGAGACAAGTTAAAATGTACGGTTGATACAGAACAGGTTGGTACATTGCATTCGTTGCGCCAAACAGTCAGACAAAAGATACGAAAAACATCATTAGTTCAACCACCGTGGTGGAACCAACAGGTGGAAGAGGCATGGAAAGCAAAAACATTGGCTACGAATGCATGACAGAAAGCCCGAAAACTAGGACCAGCAGAATATGAAGAATTAGAGCGAAAACATCGAGATAAACAAATCCTGAGTCTTATTCTTCTTCTTCTCCCCCCCCCCCTCCTCCCCACCCCCAATAGAGCTTAGGCCCCCAACCAACTCATGCCGAGTCGTTCTATCCTTCGCCATTACATGGAGCTCTCCCCATGTCCTCCCCATCTTTCTAGTTTCATTCTCCTCCTCTCTTATCCATGTGTTTTTTTTTTTGGCCTTCCTTTATTCCTTTGCCACTGTGGGTTCCAATGCAAAGAGATTCTAGTTATGCTGTTCTCCTGTTTTCTCAGTGTGTGTCCTATCCAACGCCAGCCTCTTTTCCTCGCCTCTTGGTCCACTGGAGCCTGTTTAGTTCTCTCCCAAAGCTTTACATTTGTTATTCTATCATACCCTTTAATTTCCTCTATTCTGCTCCTGAGTAAATGCATTTAAAATCTGTGCCAAAGAGGCCAAAGAAATCATTTGGACAAATTTTGTGAGAGACGTAGCAGGAGAGAAAACACAACATAAATTCTGAAATTTGCTCCGTAAATGAATTTTAGAAAGTACCATTCGTCAAATATTCAGGATTCATGAGGTAGAATATTGACAAGTGACAAGGAGAAGGGGCATATAGGGACCAATTGGCACTTGGTTGGTGACGTGCTTAATATCACACCGGTCATCTATACTTCCCATGACTTTACCTGGTACCAGTTTTAAGACTGGGTCAACCTGGGAGCCAAGGACAGTTTTCTACACACACATACGCGCGCGCGCACACACACACACACACACACACACACACACACACACACACACACACATGTCCAGTTATGGAACAAATATATGTCTGTAAAAGAAAGTATCAAGAACATTATTATATCTTTGAACTGACTAAGAAACGTATGTTGGGTTGTTTTGTTCTTATAGAGTTAACAGCACAAAACATCAAAGAGATTACAACATACCCGTTAGAAGCCAATGATAATTGCGTGTGCTGCTATAGTCAAGACTACCCCTTTTTTGGGTTACCTTTCCGTCTTTCTCTTTCACACGGGTCACCAAAGACCATTGGAAAACAATATTCAATAAAGTTGAATAAAAATAATTGCATGATTGGGGGTCGCCATAACACAAGGAACTGTATTAAAGGGTCGCTGCAATAGGAAGTTTGAGAACCTCTTGTCTGGAAAAGACGGAAAGGGTGCCAATTAAGTAGAAAGTAAACGAGCCGCAAGCCAGCCATTTGTAAACATCGCAGACGACAAACTTTTGGTTGATGGCTCAGGGTAAATCATCTAGTTTTAGCAAATAAACTCACTTTTAAAGGTGATTGTCCTTTATAGAACGAGTATTCAAGGAGGTCAGAATGAATTCTACGTGTTCCAGTTTTCCGGAGGACCCAGATAAATGTGTAAGTTGACTCCAGAAGAACTGGATTTTTATCTTACTCTTTACTTTAACTGATAACTCATTGTTTGGCGAACGTCAGACCAGGATGTTAATTTGTTTACCAAATTTAATAATAATTATTATTAAAAAGTTAGTTGCGTATCCTTTACAGGACGTTGCAGAACCAACTCCAGCATTTGTTGGCTGTTATGGTTTTTTCTAGGCAAATTTACGTTCAGTAGTTTGCCATTGATCACTGGACGATCACGATCGGCTTCTCGATACCACTGTTGAAACCAACGCACGCAAGGCCCGTAGCTGGGATCGAACCTGGCACCCTGTCATTACAAATCTCGTTCGCAACGCCTAAGCCACAGATGCCAAAAATAATTATTGTAGGGATAATTTTAAAAAAATTAAAAATAATAATGATGATGATGATGAAAATAATAAAAGAAAAAAAAACAGTGATAAAAGCAGTAATATTCATTGCAATTTAATGAACACGGTTATCAGTTTTCAGTCCTGAAGTTTAAATATCGAGAGAATGTGTTGTTTCACAATGTCAGATATATCTTGCAGTAGAGGCCTCCATTCCAGTCTATCCTGTTCAATCCCTTCAGAATCACAAATGAAATCTGCACTAGAACCTTTGTCCTCTCTCAAAAAAAATTCATGTTAGTTTTTTTTTAACGTCTTTGTTTCCCCAGTCTATTTGTTTCCGTTTCAGCGAGAGCACAACACAAAGAACTGGTACAGCAGTATCACTATGAGTAGCTCAGGAGACAATCCAGTCAGTGACAGTAACACTGCCAACATATGGCACAATAAGGAACACATCACTTGATCAGATCCAACCTTGCACAATGAGACAGACACGACCTCGTTGGTTAGACAGACACGACCTGGTTGGTTAGACAAACACTACCTGGTTGGTTAGACAGACACGACCTGGCTGGTTAGACAGACACGACCTGGTTGGTTAGACAAACATGACCTGGTTGGTTAGACAGACACGACCTGGTTGGTTAGACAGACATGACCTGGTTGGTTAGGCAGGCACGACCTGGTTGGTTAGACAGACACGGCCTGGTTGGTTAGACAGACACGACCTGGTTGGTTAGACAGACACGACCTGGTTGGTTAGACAGACACGACCTGGTTGGCCAGACAGACACGACCTCATTGGTTAGACAGACATGACCTGGTTGGTTAGACAAACACGACCTCGTTGGTTAGACAGACACGACCTGGTTGGCCAGACAGACACAACCTGGTTGGCCAGACAGACACGACCTGTTTGGCCAGACAGACACGACCTGGTTGGCCAGACAGACACGACCTGGTTGGCCAGACAGACACGACCTGGTTGGTCAGACAGACACGACCTGGTTGGTTAGACAGACACGACCTGGTTAGCCAGACAGACACGACCTGGTTGGCCAGACAGACACGGAGGACATAAAATAACTGGCCACTACGCAGTGAAATAGCAACACAGTTTGTTGGCATAATAATAACCAATATTGACAAGGATGAGGCTAGCTCCCTCGTTAGAGGTTGAACACTAATTGAAATTGAATGAACAGTGTCTATGTATTGATTCTCAGTCCTTTTCTCATAATGTGCCCAGTAAACCGTTGATGGATTTTTTGTCCATACTGTGGATAGACAGGCTTATCATGTTTAGTTGTGGCAAGATTTTTTCTTCTGACAAAAGTTAGCCATTGCATTTTCCTCCATATGTATGCTGAAAGGATATAGTTCCGTTGTCCAGCTACTGAGTTAGATGCATGGCACGACACTGTGAGCTGCTGATTTAATTTGCATGCTTTTCAGTTGTGCCGGGCATGGTTTGTGCTTTTTATTTTGTCAATATATTTACTAATTTTTTTCTGGCTGCTTATTTTGTAAAAATATTTACAATAAAACTTTGATTAGCAGTCACTTATTTAAACCGTCATTTCTCTTACCAAAAGAACCCATCTTTGTCTAAACCAGTGTTTTCCAAACTTTTCTTTTTTTTTCAAAAAAAAATTTTTCAATGGCACCCTTACCTAAGTAAAAGTATAACTATTCGTATGTCAGAGATGAAAAAAAAGAACTCGTGTATCTTCGAATATTTTGTGGCGCCCCTTGTAAAGAGGTTGCAGCTCCCTGGGGCGCTGCGGCGCACAGTTTGGGAATCACTGGTCTAAACAATTTCAGGAATATCAACGAGGAAAACCCTCAGTGACACCTAAGGAGATTGCAGATTATTTTAAAATAATGTAGGTTTATAGTATCATATTACATTTGCACACATTACTACTCTTATATTGAAGTTTATATCGATCGGTTCGTAACTTTTTTTTTCATTTTTGTCCTAAGCCAGTGATGAAATCATGTTACTGTACACATATATTGAGAGATTTCTGCCACCGCCTGGGTTTGGGCGGTGATGGTTAAACACAGTTTTACTCTACTTGTTGATTATGTCTGCTTATTGTTTCGTATTGTGTAAATATGTTTTATTGTGTTTCTTACGTAGGATACCATTGTCATTGCCAGAAAGGCTTCGGGTTCTTTTTCCTTTGTTGGATGGTAAGTTTATATTGACATGGGATTCAGTGTTGCTGGTGAGCTGGGGTTGAAACTTGGTGGGTCAGGGTTGAACCTTGGTGGGTAATGGTTGAACCTTAATGGGTCACGTTTGAACCTTGGTTTGTCAGGGTTGAACCTTGATAGGTCAGGGTTGAACCTTGGTGGGTCAGGGTTGAATCTTGGTGGGTCAGGGTTGAACCTTGGTGGGTCAGGGTCGAACCTTGGTGGGTCAGGGCTGAACCTTGGTGGGTAAGGGTTGAACCTTGGTGGGTAAGGGTTGAACCTTGTTGGGTCAGCGTTGAACCTTGATGGGTCAGGGTTAAACCTTGATGGGTCAGAGTTGAACCTTGATGGGTCAGGGTTGAACCTTGATGGGTCAGAGTTGAACCTTGGTGGGTCAGAGTTGAACCTTGGTGGGTAAGGGTTGAACCTTGGTGGGTCAGGGTTGAACCTTGGTGGGTCAGAGTTGAACCTTGGTGGGTCAGAGTTGAACCTTGGTCATTGGTGATTCTTGATGGTTCAGAGTTGCACCTCAATGGGTCTTGATGGACAAAGGTTTAACATTGGTGGACAATGGTTAAACCTTGGTGGACAACGTTTAAACCTTGATGGACTATGGTTGAATCTAAAGCTGACCATAATATTTCTTCACTTGCATGAAATTTACTCATGAGTGTCAAGTAGATCGCAGGTTACAGAATGCACCTCCTGTTCAAACAGACCTTTATATTTTTAAAACAAGACAATTAGTGGTATACTCTTACTTAAATGGTATAAATAGAATCACTAATGTAGAGCTTTGGGAGAGAACTAGACTAGTTCCAGTGGTCCAAGAGGGGAAGAAAAGATGCTGGCGTTGGATAGGACACATGTTGAGAAAACCTGAGAATATAACTAGAATGTCTTTACACTGGAACCCACAGGGGCATAGAAATGAAGACTAAAGAACACATAGAGAAGGGAGCTAGAGAGTGAAGTAAAAATGTGGGGAGGACATGGGGAGAGCTGCATGCCATAGCGAAGGACCGAACAGTTTGGAGTCAACTGGTTGAGGGCCTATGCTCCATTGGGGGTTAGAAAGGCAGAAGAAGAAAATTAATTGGCACATCTCATGCTTGACCCATGATTGTATAGTCAAGTTGGCACTAGATGTGTGTTGTAGTCAACATTGTGCTGACTGCCTTGTCTTCCCTGGACCTTTCCGGGTATCTGTTTAAGTTTTGGTTGACTTGAGAGCCGTAAGTTCAGTACTGGTCTTGCACGCCCCCTGGTTTCCAAAAAATGAAAAAGAGGTAGATTAGGAGGTGTGGCTTGGCGACATCTTATATGGAAAAAGAATAGACCTATTGCATAATAATAAGCATGTCGAACATCCCCTTGAGAGGTGAGAAACCAGTAGTCTGCATAAGATAAGCCAGATTTTAAAACAGATATGAACACAAAGCTCAAGTTTTTGGACACAACCAGAGTACAGAAGTGGATGAACAACCAGAACTTTCCATTAGAGTTTGCAGCCGAAGAATGCTATAAAAAGAAGAACTTTGCAACGCATGCTCCAGAGAAAGGGTTTTGCCAATCAGAGAGGGACAATCTCAGTCTTAGTTTTAGTCCAGGTTTCAACTTCACAGCAATCGGGTTTTCCCCATACCTGCTCCGTTCCTGTGCCAGTGAAAATCAAATAAAATGTCCTTCGCTGTCGCAGATGAAAAACTGGTGAACAAACAGCTAGTCCCGGAACAATCCAGAAATATGTGCACGCAGTAAATGCATATAGCAGTTGCTAGAGGCGCCAAAGCCAACAGTCACCACCAGAAAGGCATTTTGTCATTGATGGAAGTAGTCAGGCACGATAAGTTGGCTACACACACATAGAATTATTACATAAGGTATTTCACCAGCTCACACGTAAACCTGCTGCCAGCCATATTGAATACCACAACACACCCAGCTGCACAAATGAGAGGCATTCCACAGGAAAAACACAGCTCACAGTGCTGCACCAAGCAGTAAAATAGTAGCTCAGGCAGCAAAAACGTAGAATACCGACCCATATTTGGAAACTGCTTTAGCAAAGTGCTGTCGGAAGCAAAAATGACTGATAATTCTTATGGCTCAACATTCTGTCTAATCGTCCAGCTTTAGACTGGAAGTACAGTATGAAAGTAGAAACATCAAGATCTAGAGGATGACCAAGAAGATGATGGATGGAAGGAGTCACTGATACTTTGAGACTCCACATATCACAGCAGGGTGCTGCATGGTCTCGAGGCATAGTGCCCGCCCCGAGTGCTGGAGGTTCCGGGTTCAGTCCCCGGTAAGGGCTGGGAGTTTTCATGTGGACTTGGACTTCTAGTAATTCCCCCTGGTCTCTGGGTAGTGAGATCTGACGCCCGTGTGTATTGTTGCACAGGTAAAAAATCCCTCAGCAGTTGGAAATCGAAAAAAGTAGCCTAACAGAGCTGTCTGGCCAAAATTTTGAGTTAAAAATCTACCTAAATTATTTCAGGATCTTTGCCGGTGCTACAGAGCCTGTGCATTGTGCTGAGCTTCTTCGGACTCAGACTTGAGTTAGAAGAAGAACGGAGCACTTATGGGTTACTACCTGTGTGCCATGATGTTGGTCCGTTGTTCGAACCTCAAACCTCATATCACATCATACTGAGCAACAGCGAGCGTGCCTTGGCTTGAAATGTCGGACACTGATCATCTGTTGACCTGCGATGCTTAGCCTCCCGAAGCAGAGCATGGACAAAAGACAAAAAAAGTAACTTGTCATACACTTTTCCATTGTCCTAAATGACTTTGTGAAAATTAAACTCTTTTTACCTTGATTATACTACTTATGAATAACTAGAATGTCTTTGCATTGGAACCCACAGGGGCATAGGAATAAAGGAAGGCCAAAAACACATGGAGAAGAGAGCCGGAGAATGAAGTTAGAAAGATGGGAGGACATGGGAGAGCTCCATGTAATTGCGAAGAATAGCACGACTTGGAGTGAGTTGGTTGAGGACCTATGCTCCATTGGGGGATAAAAAGGCAGAAGAAGAAGATACTACTTATGTTGCCGTTAATGACTCAGATGTTGCAAACAAGCCAGTTTCAATATCAGCTGTGGGTGATTTGGTTGCAGACCACATGGTGTTGATTTCACCAGTGGTATTGAGAGTCAGCGGTTCAGAAAGCAATGGCAAACTGCTGAACATAAAAGAGTGCAGTAAACTCACAAACAAACCAAAAATGCTGGGGTTGGTTCTTCAACATGCTGTAAAGGATACAGAACTAACTGTTTATTTTAAATTTGTTGTACCATTTATGTGCCCTTTATTTTACTTTCAGTTTGTTTATAATATTCATCATTTGGCTGTTTCGGAGATACATTATTTTTACTCAGGTGTGTATTGTTTTTCTTTTTTTTTTGAGTATTTTTTTTTTTTTTTTTTTAGCCATTCTAACTTTTTATGCACTTGTTTAAATAAAAATAATTTGAAATTTTTTATTTTGTTCAAAGGATGGCGTTAGTGTCTGTATTTAACACGTTGGCGGAGTAGATTTGGGTGGAAAAGGCAGATTTTTCAAGGCCAATGTGGGAGTGAGACAGGGTTGCATTCTATCCCCTGTCCTTTTCAATTTGTATTTGGAACAGATCATGAGAGAATCACTAGAACATCATGAAACCTCTATATCCATTGGTGGAAGACAACTGTGTAATTTACGTTTTGTAGACGACATAGATCTCATGGCTGGTTCCGGAGCAGAACTCCAAGAACTTGCTACAAAATTAGAGACAGTCTGTGGTAAATATGGCATGGAAATTAATGCCGAGAAAAGTCAGATTCTGGTAAATAGCCACAATAATCATGTACCTAACAACTAACAGATAAAAGGGAAAAAAACTAGAAGAATTTGAAACTTTTAAATATCCTGGCTCCCACATATGTAACGATGGCAGCTGTACCAAAAAGATCAAGGCAAGACTTGATATGGGAACAGCCGCGATGATGTGGAAGAGTAAAATCAACATCGCAATCAAGGTCAAAAATTTACAAATCACTCCTATTGTCTATTTTCTTATAGGGCTACGAGAGCTGGATTCTCACTGTGGAAATGGAAAGGAGGATTCAGGCTTTCGAATGTAAATGCTAGAGACGCAATTTACAAATTAGTTATTTAGAACACAAAACTAATAAATATGACAGAGACAAAATATACAAATTTGTAGGATATCAGGAGCCTCTCTTGGCAGTGGTTAAACGTCGCAAGCTAGCTTGGTTTGGACACAGGGTGAGGCATGATTTAATTGCAAAGACTGTCCTTCAAGGAACACTGGGGGGTAGTCGAAGAAGAGGAGGGCAAAGAAGAACCTGGAGTGACAACATTAAGAAATAGACAGGACTAGGTTATAATACACTTATTCATCAAGCAGAAGACAAAGTAAGATGGCAGTTTTATGTGCTAGTGCTTCCGTTAATACACCTCCACGACCCTAATGGGTCAAGGGTTATGTTATGGTAAAAAGCATATGGCTAGAACGCCTTTGTACTGGAACCCACAGGGGCATAGAAATAAAGGAAGACCTAAAAAAAAATTTTAACAAGCATATGGAGATGGGAGCTAGATAGTGAAGCTGAAAAGATGGGGAGGACATGGGGAGGACATGGGGACAGCTGCATGCGACCTAAGGACAGAATGGCTTGTTTTTAGATTATCTTTATTATTTCATTTTGTTTTTAAAAGTACATTTACTTTCTTCATTACTGCTATGAAAGTACATTTATAATTTCAGCGTTTAATACTGTACCTGAGTATCGCAGCTTTTCTAGACAGCATTGCATATTTAATGGTAAGAATTTGTTGTTCAGTTTTGATCTAAAAAATCGAATCACTATCAGTTTTGTTTCTCAAAGGTATTAATCAGTTAGTTAGTCTTTCCTCCTGAGCCCAGGGTGGCACATAGGGCAGAGGTCATAGCTCTCTATGTATGGTGGTTCATTGCCACCTGGTTTAGGTCTTGGATGTTCATTAGGCCCTTGGTTGAGCCTTCCCTGATGATGGTTCTTCGCAGGGCCTCTCTTGGTCTTCTCCGTTTTCTTGCACGCTCCCTGGTTTCCAAAATGGAGAGTGGGGGTGTGGCTTGGCAACATCTTTTATGGAAAAAGAATAGACCTATTGCCTCATAATAAGCATGTCGAACATCCCCCTGAGAGGTGAGAAACCAGTAGTCTGCATAAGATAAGCCAGATTTCTTCCGGTGTCCATATGAGGGCTTGATCGGAAAGTCTGGGGTTACCCATTCTGAGTGCATGGTCGATGTAGTACCAACGGCACTTTCTTAAAAAAATTTGATACATTATCTTGCTTGGTCTCTTGTCTTACTTGCATATTGGATCTGAAGTCTGTCCAGTGGAGATTTAGTATTCTTCTAAGACATTTGTTCTCAAAATTGACGAATTTTTTATGTAGAGCTACTGTTGCTTTCTGACTCTCACATCCATAAATTAGCACTGGAATCACAGAAGAGTTGAAGATTGTAAGTTTTGTGTGTTTGCTGTGTGTCTTTGACTTCCAGATGTTTGACAGTTTTTAAGGAATTACTGCAGTAAGTAAATACATGCTGATTTCATCTTTATACCATCTGGATATTTTACGGGTATTAATATAAATAAATAGATAAATAATTTAAAATTTATACTAGCTTTATCTTTCATGTGTATAAAAACAATAAGTTGAGAAATAATGACTTTATCTGTTGTTGAATTTTGAATTATGAATCAACATCACAGCACTCGGGACACATTCATAAGTGCTCCGTCCCCATCTTCAGCAGCAAGTGACAAGTTAAAATTCTGATGGTACCAGTAACTGTCTGATTGTATGTATATCCATCTCGCTTTACCCCTGAGTGTTAAGCGTCGGACAGATCCCCTGGTAACTTTTCGCAGCGCCTTTCTCCTCAGACCGTAATGATCTGTCTGGGCCTCGGCACTGTTCACTCGCTCCCAAAGGGCCCTCACAACACCAAGTGGTGCAGAACCGGGCCAGTCTATCTGCCTGCTCATTTCCCAACACACCGGCGTGACCTGGAGAAAATATCCAAAGGATGCAAACTACAGGGGACAAAGACTTCATCTTTATATCAGCTGTATCTTTTGTGGGTGTTACAGCTGTATCTTTTGTGGGTGTTACAGCTGTATCTTTTGTGGGTGTTACAGCTGTATCTTTTGTGGGTGTTACAGCTGTATCTTTTGTGGGTGTTACAGCTGTATCTTTTGTGGGTGTTACAGCTGTATCTTTTGTGGGTGTTACAGCTGTATCTTTTGTGGGTGTTACAGCTGTATCTTTTGTGGGTGTTACAGCTGTATCTTTTGTGGGTGTTACAGCTGTATCTTTTGTGGGTGTTACAGCTGTATCTTTTGTGGGTGTTACAGCTGTATCTTTTGTGGGTGTTACAGCTGTATCTTTTGTGGGTGTTACAGCTGTATCTTTTGTGGGTGTTACAGCTGTATCTTTTGTGGGTGTTACAGCTGTATCTTTTGTGGGTGTTACAGCTGTATCTTTTGTGGGTGTTACAGCTGTATCTTTTGTGGGTGTTACAGCTGTATCTTTTGTGGGTGTTACAGCGGTATCTTTTGTGGGTGTTACAGCTGTATCTTTTGTGGGTGTTACAGCTGTATCTTTTGTGGGTGTTGATAAAGTTTGTTGACAAATGATGACTTCACGCCAGCGCGGTAATGTTTGAGCATAAATAAAGTGTGTGAATAACTGATAAACTTATGTTAGCTGGATTTATCACAGAAGAATTTTTTTTTTAATTTTTTTTTAAAATTTATTTCATTTTGCTGTGCAGAGTTCTGATATCGTTGATGGCCCGACCTGCAACTTTCAAGGCTGGTGGCTGACATTTTTTGGTAATTATTTTATTTGACTAGGTAATGTCTCAAAGTAAACTGGGCAAACCTGAAGCAAGTTGAAATGTTTAAGTACTTGGGTACCCTGATAACATCAGGTGGAAGATGTATTAACTCTTTGAGTCCCAGGGGGTTTAGCATCTCAGGCCCAAGGGGTAGTCAAGAGAGACGTAAAATCGGCGCATCATGCGTTCATTGGGCCTCTGGGTAGGAATCTATCAACGCATGATGCGTTCCTTGGGACTCAAAGAGTTAAGGAAGTTAAATGTAGAATGGCTCAAGCAAAGGCAGCATTTTACAAAATGAAGAATAGTTTATACAATCTTTCTTTGTCAATTGAGACGAGAAAGAGAATTCTTAAAAGCTATATAAATCCTGTAATGATATAGGAATGTGAATCATGGACAGTTAGTAAATTAGTGAACACTTTTTCGGAAGCTGCAGAGATGTACTTTTATAGACGAATGTTGAGAATACCTTGGAGAGGTCAAAGGAGTAATGAAGTCGTCTTGAAAGAAACTACCTCACAAAAAGAACTGATTGCCCTTATCAGAAAGAGACAGTCTACATTCTTTGGTCATGATGAGAACGAGAAGACTGGAGTTCATCATATGGTAGGAGAGGCAGAGGTAGATCGAGAGAACAGATGCTGTATGGTTTGACATCATGGTATGGAAGATCTACTATGTTAGAGTTGATTGAAAGTACACGAGACAGAAGGTTGTGGATAGACATGACTACCAACGCCACATAGCATGGACTATAAAAGATCATCAGTGTCAGAGTTGATTGAAAGTACACGAGACAGAAGGTTGTGGATAGACATGACTACCAACGCCACATAGCATGGACTATAAAAGATCATCAGTGTCAGAGTTGATTGAAAGTACATGAGACAGAAGGTTGTGGATAGACATGACTACCAACGCCACACCGCATGGACTATAGAAGAGCATCTGTGTCAGAGTTGATTGAAAGTACACGAGACAGAAGGTTGTGGATAGACATGACTACCAACGCCACACGGCAGGGACTATGGAAGACCATCTGTGTCAGAGTCGATTAAAAGTACACAAAACAGAAGGTTGTGGATTGACATGACTATCAACGCCACACGGCATGGACTGGGCCTAGCACCCCACACCCTTCCCCCAGAGAGTGCTGCAACCTATCCCAGAGGCATTCTCTTTCTCTGAATGAAAATATAAATGCAAGACAATGCAGAAAGCGAACAACAGAGTGGGAAACACCAGTAACTTTCAGGAAAGTCGACCAGCCCAACAAACTTGTGAATGAAAGGTGACCTTCGCTATTTAGGAAGATTAACATGAACCTAACCCAAAAGAAAAAAGATATAAACCAGAAGATTATTTTGTGCATTTCATGTTACAGAGTAAATTAATTAGATATTCACGATTACCTTTAAAACTCCACAACATGACATTGCAGACTGGCAAGTTCTGCTGTCCGTGTCCTGTATTACTTTCAACTTGTTCATGAGTGTTATCTGGCAAGTCAGAACGGACAGATTTGAGTGGTGAGTTTCCATGTGGAATGTCTTAGGAGATTTTATCAATGTTAAAAAAATGCTTTGTTAGCTCATTTTGCGAGTATAATTTGAATAATCTTTTTCTTCCTCCTCCTCCTCTGACTTCTTCCACGCATTTGCTTGCCCTCCTGCTTGTTGTTGTTGTTCTTGTTGTTCATTGTTGTTCTTCTTCCTCTTCTTCTTTTTCTTCTTCTTCGTCTTTTTCTTGTTTCTTCTTCTTATTCTTCTTCTACTTCTTCTTCTTCTTCTTCCTGTTCTTCTTTTTCTTCTTCTTCTTCTTCTTCTTCTTCTTCTTCTTCTTCTTCTTCTTCTTCTTCTTCTTCTTCTTCTTCTTCTTCTTCTTCTTCTTCTTCTTCTTCTTCTTCTTCTTCTTCTTCTTCATCATCATCTTCTTCTTCTTCTTCTTCTTCTTCTTCTTCTTCTTCTTCTTCTTCTTCTTCTTCTTCTTCTTCTTCTTCTTCTTCTTCTTCTTCTTCTTCTTCTTCTTCTTCTTCTTCTTCTGGCTAATATTAAGGCAATAAATTGACAAGAATATCAGTTGATATTCCCAATGAAAACAACCTGTGATATGCTGATGATATAATTATAGCCACTGAAAAAGAAAACAACTGCAAGAAATAAAGGATATAATTGTAACAGAAAGTCGAAACAAGGGTCTTAGTTTGAACAGCTGAAACACAGAAGTAATGATAATTACACAAAGAAAATAGACCCTTCAAAATGCAGCAGTAAAGTAAATGGGACAAACCTCAAGTAGGTTGATATGTTTAATGTCTTGGATACCCTGCCCGACAGGCAAGGAGCCAGTAATCTGCAAAGAAATAAGCCAGATCTGTAAAACTGCTGTGCCCAAAAAAACTCTTGCTCTGAAACAAGAGTAAACCAGAAAATAAAAACCCCTAGTATTTTCTGCCGGAGTTTACAGACAGTGGACATGAGGAGAATCAGAAGGTTGTGGATAGACGAGACTACCAACACAACATGACATGGATGGTTAGAAGAAGAAACTGACGTAAAATGTATCATGTCTACCCTAGCCATTTTAAATAAGTATTTTTTTCTTCCGCAACATGACCAGGCTGTATCTAGGTGTCTGCTGGACAGTTCCTCTTGTCATCTCTTGTTTACCTTTCATTGGTGATCACTATGGACCAGCCGGAGCATGGTGGTAAGTACAGCAGTGTAGACGGTGTCTGATCAAATTTTAAGTGTGACTAGAAAGCTTGACCGAGGAAACGATTTGCACAAATACAGCCGAACGTTTCGATTAAAGTCTTTGTCAGCGGAGCACTAGATACAACAGCATCATCATCAGGTGCCTTGCTGACTGGCGTTGGTGATCATGCCTCTCCAAAATCTGCAATCTCCTGCAGCATGTATCAGTTTGTGTGCTGACACACCTCTATGCCATGCAACAAGACTGTCAAGAATCTTCTCATGTTGTCTTCCTCTATCCCTCCTTCCACAGATCTTTCCAGTGGTCACAGCATGTTCTATTTTCCCTCTTCTTATAACATGGCTGAAAAATGATGACTGTCTCCTTCTGATGTCTGTGATAAGTTGTCTTCGGGCTCCCGCCTCTTTCATAATCTCTTGGTTGATCTTTTTGGCTGTCTAAATTATTTTAAGCATTCTTCTGTGAAACCACATCTCTGAGGCCTCAAGAAATTGTTTGGCCTGATACCGATTGTCCAGGACTCACAGCCATATGTTAAAACTGGATATATTTAGCAAGCAAAAGTTGTTTTTTCTAACACCCCCCTCCCTCCCCCCCCACCCCAATGACTAGATATATTGCTTAAGATTTTGCCTGTCCTATTCTGTTTCTTATCTCAGTGATGCATCTTCCATCTGATGTTATCCATGTGCCCAGATACTTAAATATAACATACTTTTGTTTTTGTTTAAAATGAAATCATTAATAAAATTCAATCAGCTGTGTTAAATATTCTCTCTCTCTCTCTCTTTCTTGTTGTACCCAACCAGGAAATTACACAGCGATTAACACCCGGTGACACAAAGTGCCATCATGCGGATGAGGATCACAACAGAAGGTTGTGGATACACATGACTACCAACGCCACACGGCGTGGACTTTAAGAAGCAGAAGATGTAAAGAAGAAGCAGAAGTGCCTGAATCACCACGGGCATAAAAAGAGTTCTTACTTATTTTACTCAAATGGATGTCTTTCCTGTCCGCTGGAAGTATTTATTTCTCATATCACTGCCATTAGTCTAGCATGTGACACAGTTATGATATCAGGGATTTTAGTTGTGTTTGTATCATTGTTGTCATCATCATCATCACTATCCTGTTGTGTTGTGTATCATTGTTGGAGGAATCATCCAGCGCTCATCATCACTATTTCCTGTTGTGCCCAGACTTAAGCTCCTTATTTCTTTACACCTCTTTGTGATTGTATGTCAAAAACATCTTCTTCTTCTCACTGAGTATAAGTTCCCCTATACCAGGCAAACAGTTTTACTTATTCATACATATTGTCTTTGTTTTAAATTGCAGCTGGATCATAGAAGATTTTTCTTGGAGAGTTGGAATGTAAGTTCACCATGATTTTACGGATAATGTTGATATACTGCTGAATTATAAGCTTGAAGTAATATGGCATAGAACCTTGTCAGATGCAATAGAAGCGAAGTAGATGTTGCCCGAGTGATAGATAGAATCTCCAAGACCATATCAGTCAGTAGCCTGTCCTTTGCACAACTTTGCTGACATAACAACCCTCCAGAAAACTTCTCGATCACAAGCAAGATGTCCCGTGTCCGATACACCCATCTAGAGATCATCCGCCACATCCTGCACCCATCTTCTCTTTGGCCTTCCTCTTCCTCTCTTCCCAGGTATATACCCCTCCATTATTGTTCTCTCCAAACTTTCATGACATTTCAGGTGAACAAAGTATTTCAATTTTCTGTGTTTTATCGTCTTTAAAAGCCAACCTTCTTCAGTTCTTGAAGTATGGATGCATTTGTTTTTTTTCCCCCCATTATTTTCTTAGAATCTGTCTATAACATTTGAATTCAAATGCACTGTTCAGCTTGTTTAGTAAGTGGCCAGGTCTCGCAAGTGTATGTTGCAATGAGACCATATCATGAAAAGAAATTAAGCAAAATGAAAAGAAGAACAAGTTAGTGTCACATTATCACAAATAACAAGTTAACGATGTGACTAGAAAATTCATCAGCACATTACCTAAATATTAAATGCTAGAAACACCAACAAGAAAACACAAAATTACTTAACTGAAACGTCTGTGAGAGAAATCACATTTCTGTCTGCCAGTTCAATCTCTGACACGTGTGTGACTGTAAGAAAAAAAAATACTGGCCAGAATAAGATGTGAACGGCAAGGGCAGTAACTAAAAAATATTACATAAACTGTGCTGGATGTTGAGTTTCTTTGGCAAATTGGACCCATTAAATAGAAAGATAGAGTAAGACTAGAGAAAGACAGAAAAGTGATGTAGTTGTGTTTGTTGTGTGACGGTAATATGAAAAGGAAAAACCAAACAAAGAGTACGACCAGTCGTTTTCACAGAGTCGCAAACACAAATGACAAGTGAATGTTGCTGCTAGAGAGCTTTCATTAGCACATTACAATAATCTGCATTCAAGAATACACAGATCACTTAACTCAAATATCCCTGATCATCTTGGTAGTCTTGGTAATCTTAGTTTCAGCTTCATAGCAAACGAGTCACCCCATAGTTGCTCCGCTCCTGTGCCAACGAAAAACACACAGAATTTTCATCGCAGTCCCTTGTTGAAATATTGACAGACTGCTGTCCCGGCACATGCACTAACATACACACGCATTAAAAGCATATGGTAGCCATCAGAAGTGCTAACACAAACAGTCTGACGTTAGAAATGCAGTTCAGCATTGATGGTAGCAGAAGTTACAAACACATCAGCAGTTGCAGAAGCGATTAATATTAATCATATAATGGCACCACTAATATTGCAGCGACCGGCCACACGCCATTTTCTGAATCTACAGTTCACAATACCACGTTGGTCACAGTCAAAAAACATTCCAAATGAAATCCGCAGCTCACAGGGTCGCGCCATGCACTCCACTCAGTAGCTGATGCGATGAAACTCTATCCTTTCAGTCTACAAATGGATCAAAAATGCAGAGGCCACCGTCTGGCAGAGGCAAAAAATTTGCCTCGACGTTAAACAGTAACCGCGCCTGGCGTCTATTTTGACCCTGATCATCATCATCATCAAGTGCCTTCGTCAGCTGGCGTAGACGTTTACACATCTCTACAGTTCTTGATCTTCAGTGTTCTGGATCAGTTCTACTAGTGATATTCCTCCATGCCACTGTCTTAAGCTGTCCACCATTATTTCTTTTGGTTTATGCCTCTGATAGAAATCACAAGATGTGCCAACACTTAAGTTCCCATTCCAGAATTGCAACTCACTGTTAGCGTAGTTGGTCAATCACAAAAGCCGGCATTGCACCTGCATACTCGGCGATTTTTGTGCAGTTAGCAACATGACACGGCTGGGCGATGGAAACTTGAGATGTCCAGTCCAGGAATGGGGAATTTGCATTAGCAAACCCTAGGTGGAAACAAATAACTTTTCAGGGTATCAGCAGTCAGCCTGCTATGAGTATGAAGGGGTTTCTTTACTTACATATATATATATATTGATGATGATAAATTATAATCAGCAAAAGTAACTATCTGTTGATTTTTTCCCCAGATGGTACGGGCCGCTGTTTATTATAATCGCATTTTTGATTATCACTTACGGCTACATCACGTACAGCCTAAGTAGAAAAGTGAGTAATGGCTGCCGGTGCAAGATCAGTAGTATTATGTGCCAAAGTGTTTTCATGTTTTCAGGTCTATGTTTAAATCATGTCATGTTCACATTGTCTATGCTTAAAATGTAACCAATGTTTCCTGTGTCTGCATTTATATCTTGTCCATGTTTATAATGTGTTTCTGTTCATATTTTGCATGCTTATAATGTACTAATATTTTCATTGTCCATGTTCAAAATATGCCAATATTTTTGGTGTACATGTTCATAATGCGCCAATATTCTCGGTGTCCACATTTATGAGTTTATGTTCTCACTGAAAGTTTCAAAGTTAATTGCTTATCCTTTACAAGAAATTGCAGAACAACACCCATTTTTTGGCTGTTAATGATTTCACTAAGCAAGTGTGCTTTCAGTAGTTTGCCATTGTTTTTTGAATGGTAGCTTGTTATACTTGGCTACCTTGATAACGCAAAGTAGTCTGCTACCAGATTGTCCACAGCAGGGATTAAACCTGGCAGTCCGAAATTATGAAGTGTGTTCACAACGCCTATAAAGGAAACAAATTTAAAATGTATCTGTGTTCTTTTTGTCCACATTTCTGTCTCCCTGTCTTCCTTGTCCACTTTTATGTCTTCCTGTTCCCCTTGTCCACATTTCTGTCTCCCTGTCTTCCTTGTCCACTTTTATGTCTTCCTGTTCCCCTTGTCCACATTTCTGTCTCCCTGTTCCCCAATATTCCACATTTCTGTCCACATTTCTCCTTGTCCACATTTCTGTCCTGTTCTCCTAGTCCACATTTCTCCACCCTTTCTGTCTCCCACCCCATTCTGTCTCCCTGTTTCCCTTGTCCACATTTCTGTCTCCCTGTTCTCCCTGTTCCCCTTGTCCACATTTCTGTCTCCCTGTTCTCCTTGTCCACATTTCTGTCTCCCTGTTCTCCTTGTCCACATTTCTGTCTCCCTGTTCTCCTTGTCCACATTTCTGTCTCCCTGTTCTCCTTGTCCACATTTCTGTCTCCCTGTTCTCCTTGTCTACATTTCTGTCTCCCTTGTCCACATTTCTCCTCCCTGTCTCTCTTGTCTACATTTCTCCCCTGTTCTCCTTGTCCACATTTCTCTCTCCCTGTTCTCCTTGTCCACATTTCTGTCTCCCTGTTCTCCTTGTCCACATTTCTGTCTCCCTGTTCTCCTTGTCCACATTTCTCTCTCCCTGTTCTCCTTGTCCACATTTCTCTCTCCCTGTTCTCCTTGTCCACATTTCTGTCTCCCTCCTTGTCTACATTTCTGTCTCCCGTTCTCTTGTCCACATTTCTGTCTCCCTGTTCTCCTTGTCCACATTTCTGTCTCCCTGTTCTCTCTTGTCCCACATTTCTGTCTCCCATGTTCTCCTTGTCCACATTTCTGTCTCCCTGTTCTCCTTGTCCACATTTCTGTCTCCCATTTCTCTCCAATTTCTGTCTCTCCTTTGTCCCATTTCTGTCTCCCTGTTCTCCTTGTCCACATTGTCTCCCATTCTCCTGTTCCACTTCTGTCTCCCAGTTCTCCTTGTCTTTCTGTCTTCCTGTTCTCCTTGTCCACATTTCTGTCTCCCATTTCTCCTTGTCCACATTTCTGTCTCCCTGTTCTCCTTGTCCACATTTCTGTCTCCCATTTCTCCTTGTCCACATTTCTGTCTCCCATTTCTCCTTGTCTACATTTCTGTCTCCCATTTCTCCTTGTCCACATTTCTGTCTCCCAGTTCTCCTTGTCCACATTTCTGTCTCCCATTTCTCCTTGTCCACATTTCTGTCTCCCAGTTCTCCTTGTCCACATTTCTGTCTCCCTGTTCCCTTTGTCCACATTTCTGTCTCCCAGTTCTCCTTGTCCACATTTCTGTCTCCCTGTTCACTTTGTCCACATTTCTGTCTCCCAGTTCTCCTTGTCCACATTTCTGTCTCCCATTTCTCCTTGTCTACATTTCTGTCTCCCATTTCTCCTTGTCCACATTTCTGTCTCCCTGTTCTCCTTGTCCACATTTCTGTCTCCCATTTCTCTTTGTCCACATTTCTGTCTCCCTGTTCCCCTTGTCCACATTTATGTCTCCCATTTCTCCTTGTCCACATTTCTGTCTCCCAGTTCTCCTTGTCCACATTTCTGTCTCCCATTTCTCCTTGTCCACATTTCTGTCTCCCAGTTCTCCTTGTCCACATTTCTGTCTCCCAGTTCTCCTTGTCCACATTTCTGTCTCCCATTTCTCCTTGTCCATATTTCTGTCTCCCAGTTCTCCTTGTCCACATTTCTGTCTCCCAGTTCTCCTTGTCCACATTCTGTCTCCCAGTTCTCCTTGTCCACATTTCTGTCTCCCAGTTCTCCTTGTCCACATTTCTGTCTCCCAGTTCTCCTTGTCTACATTTCTGTCTCCCAGTTCTCCTTGTCCACATTTCTGTCTCCCTGTTCTCCTTGTCCACATTTCTGTCTCCCTGTTCTCCTTGTCCACATTTCTGTCTCCCTGTTCCCCTTGTCCACATTTCTGTCTCCCTGTTCTCCTTGTCCACATTTCTGTCTCCCTGTTTGGCCCCTTGTCCACATTTTCTGTCTCTCTGTTCCCCTTGTCCCACATTTCTGTCTCCCTGTTCCCCTTGTCCACATTTCTGTCTCCCTGTTCTCCTTGTCAACATTTCTGTCTCCCATTTCTCCTTGTCCATATTTCTGTCTCCCATTTCTCCTTGTCCATATTTCTGTCTCCCATTTCTCCTTGTCCACATTTCTGTCTCCCATTTCTCCTTGTCCACATTTCTGTCTCCCAGTTCTCCTTGTCCACATTTCTGTCTCCCAGTTCTCCTTGTCCACATTTCTGTCTCCCAGTTCTCCGTGTCCACATTTCTGTCTCCCAGTTCTCCTTGTCCACATTTCTGTCTCCCATTTCTCCTTGTCTACATTTCTGTCTCCCAGTTCTCCTTGTCCACATTTCTGTCTCCCAGTTCTCCTTGTCCACATTTCTGTCTCCCAGTTCTCCTTGTCCACATTTCTGTCTCCCATTTCTCCTTGTCTACATTTCTGTCTCCCATTTCTCCTTGTCCACATTTCTGTCTCCCTGTTCTCCTTGTCCACATTTCTGTCTCCCATTTCTCCTTGTCTACATTTCTGTCTCCCATTTCTCCTTGTCCACATTTCTGTCTCCCTGTTCTCCTTGTCCACATTTCTGTCTCCCTGTTCTCCTTGTCTACATTTCTGTCTCCCTGTTCTCCTTGTCCACATTTCTCTTTCCCTGTTCTCCTTGTCCACATTTCTATTTCCCTGTTCTCCTTGTCCACATTTCTGTCTCCCTGTTCTCCTTGTCCACATTTCTCTTTCCCAGTTCTCCTTGTCCACATTTCTGTCTCCCTGTTCACTTTGTCTACATTTCTGTCTCCCATTTCTCCTTGTCCACATTTCTGTCTCCCTGTTCTCCTTGTCCACATTTCTGTCTCCCATTTCTCTTTGTCCACATTTCTGTCTCCCTGTTCCCCTTGTCCACATTTATGTCTCCCATTTCTCCTTGTCCACATTTCTGTCTCCCAGTTCTCCTTGTCCACATTTCTGTCTCCCATTTCTCCTTGTCCACATTTCTGTCTCCCAGTTCTCCTTGTCCACATTTCTGTCTCCCAGTTCTCCTTGTCCACATTTCTGTCTCCCATTTCTCCTTGTCCATATTTCTGTCTCCCAGTTCTCCTTGTCCACATTTCTGTCTCCCAGTTCTCCTTGTCCACATTTCTGTCTCCCAGTTCTCCTTGTCCACATTTCTGTCTCCCAGTTCTCCTTGTCCACATTTCTGTCTCCCAGTTCTCCTTGTCTACATTTCTGTCTCCCAGTTCTCCTTGTCCACATTTCTGTCTCCCTGTTCTCCTTGTCCACATTTCTGTCTCCCTGTTCTCCTTGTCCACATTTCTGTCTCCCTGTTCCCCTTGTCCACATTTCTGTCTCCCTGTTCTCCTTGTCCACATTTCTGTCTCCCTGTTCTCCTTGTCCACATTTCTGTCTCTCTGTTCCCCTTGTCCACATTTCTGTCTCCCTGTTCCCCTTGTCCACATTTCTGTCTCCCTGTTCTCCTTGTCAACATTTCTGTCTCCCATTTCTCCTTGTCCATATTTCTGTCTCCCATTTCTCCTTGTCCATATTTCTGTCTCCCATTTCTCCTTGTCCACATTTCTGTCTCCCATTTCTCCTTGTCCACATTTCTGTCTCCCAGTTCTCCTTGTCCACATTTCTGTCTCCCAGTTCTCCTTGTCCACATTTCTGTCTCCCAGTTCTCCGTGTCCACATTTCTGTCTCCCAGTTCTCCTTGTCCACATTTCTGTCTCCCATTTCTCCTTGTCTACATTTCTGTCTCCCAGTTCTCCTTGTCCACATTTCTGTCTCCCAGTTCTCCTTGTCCACATTTCTGTCTCCCAGTTCTCCTTGTCCACATTTCTGTCTCCCATTTCTCCTTGTCTACATTTCTGTCTCCCATTTCTCCTTGTCCACATTTCTGTCTCCCTGTTTTCCTTGTCCACATTTCTGTCTCCCATTTCTCCTTGTCTACATTTCTGTCTCCCATTTCTCCTTGTCCACATTTCTGTCTCCCTGTTCTCCTTGTCCACATTTCTGTCTCCCTGTTCTCCTTGTCTACATTTCTGTCTCCCTGTTTCTCCTTGTCCCACATTTCTCTTTCCTGTTCTCCTTGTCCACATTTCTATTTCCCTGTTCTCCTTGTCCACATTTCTGTCTCCCTGTTCTCCTTGTCCACATTTCTCTTTCCCTGTTCTCCTTGTCCACATTTCTCTTTCCCTGTTCTCCTTGTCCACATTTCTGTCTCCCTGTTCTCCTTGTCCACATTTCTCTTTCCCTGTTCTCCTTGTCCACATTTCTGTCTCCTTGTTCTCCTTGTCCACATTTCTCTTTCCCTGTTCTCCTTGTCCACATTTCTCTTTCCCTGTTCTCCTTGTCCACATTTCTCTTTCCCTGTTCTCTGTGTCCAAATTTCTGTCCCCCTGTTCTCTCTTATCAAATTTCTGTCCCCCTGTTCTCCTTGTCCACATTTATAATGTGTCTATGTTTCCAGTGCTCATTTATAACTTGTCCGTGTTCCCAGTCCGGCACTTCATTGATCAATCACAGATCTATGCTGATTGGTCAGTGCGCAGTAAAAAAAGCCTCACTACATGAATTCCAAGGGACTAAGAATCTAGTTTTTTTTATAGTCTAGTTATTTCAATTACAGTTTGTTGTAATAAAAGTGGGTGAAGATCTCTTTATATGCCAGTGGCGTTTTGGGCATATGAGGCTAGACTTATATTTTTATAGACCAATCAATGGGTGATGTGATCAGCATCATGCTGGCTGCCTTGATTTCCCAGGATTTTACCTGATACCCATTTAAGGCTAGGTCAGCCAGGGAGACAAGGTCATGTTGGGAAAGAATCTAGCTACATTTTTTTTTTATTGTTCAGTAATAAGTTAATTACTTTTTTAAAAATATTTATTTACTTTTTTTTAATTGTTCATAGATATTTTAATTACAAAATTTTTAAATTATAATTATTGAACAATATTTTAATTATATTGTTATTATGCCGTCCTCTTCTAGGCATCCAGCTGGGAGGGCACGTATGATCCACACACAGAAAGACAACATGTAAGTGGATTTTGATTAGTTTTTCACCACTTTGGAGTTGAGTTGAGTTGAGTTAAGTCAAGAATTGACATCACAACACTCGGAGCATTCCCGTGCATGCTCCCTCCTCATCTTCAACAGACAGCGCAGAGTTCATATGCTGATGGTACAGGCCACAATCTGGTTATATGTTCGTCTTGCCTTTCCTCTGAATGTGGTGAGCCGGCCAGACCCTCTGGTTACACCCAGATGCCTCATTCATGCAATATAACATTAACACAAGCTATGCAGCTAGCAGAAAACAGGAAACTGCGTGTGACGATGTTCCCTCTGTGTGCTGACTGATGGTTAACATGTGATGATGTCTCTCACGTATAAGATGATTGTACACACAGATGATAGAGCGGAATTACACTCACAATTTGATTCATTTATTACTGTTTCAAAGACAGCCTTGTCCAGTTACTGTCATCTGACCTCTTGCATTCAGAGGTTCAACTAACAAGTATTACAATGTACGTATCAGATGTTCACAATCGTCTGCACTCATTACCTTGCCATCACAATCGTCCGCACTCATTACCTTGCCATCACAATTGTCCGCACTCATTACCTTGCCATCACAATTGTCCGCACTCATTACCTTGCCATCTTGATGGATCATTCATGCAACATAAGGCACCATGTGGGCATCTCCAACGTCGGCTGTTAGCCTTCACTAGCAGATGAGGTGTGGGATTGAATAGCTGATTTTCAAGCTGCCGTCTCGTTAAATCAAAACTTCTTTTCCACGTAACCATTTACACTTCATCACATTCACCCTCTTGTCAAAACCCAACCATCCTCCCTGGCTGCAAAACACCAACTGATTTGATCTGGTTTCAACTTTCAAATCTCTCTCTGATTTCTCGTGGTGTCACCTGTCCACTGTTCACATAACCTCGTGATATCGCGAGCCTTGCTTGTCTCACGTGTTACTCACTCAACTTCTCCTTGACCTTAATCTGGCTTAAGGAAACTCCTTGGGAAATCCCCTCATTACACTGCATTTAATTCCTCCCTTTACAGCATAAATAGTAGGAAAAAAGAAGAACAAGATGTTCACCACTTGTGAGATGAGGTGCCCGAGAAAATCTGCCAGCTAACCGAGAATGAGTGAGTAATGATACGCTCAGACAGATTGTGAGAACAACACCTTATACAGGATTCATGGAGCAGGTAAAGTGGTTTGGCCGCCTTGTGAGAATGCTGCCAAATCTCAGAAGATCAGCTACAAGAGCAAGAATGATGGCCGTCAAAGAAATATAAATTGACAGTATTAAAGACACTTGATGCCTTCATGGCATGACAATAGTCAGTGCTAACCAACATGCACTGGATCGCAAATTATTCCTCCTCACAATGCTTAAGAAGGAAGTAATTTATGATAAGGATGGTGTTTAGTTGTTCTCATGGTGTGCAGGTGTGTTGGGAAATGAACAGGCAGATTGGGTGGGGACTTGATGCATGACAAGCATCCCAACACCCCACGACTTCTCCGTTCCTTTGCTAGTGGAAATCACACAGAATGTTGCATTTGAAAACTAGGGATTAACAAATCAGTCTCAGCCAAATCTTGAAGCTTGCACATGCAAAGAAAATATAAGTCAACCATCAGATGTGCCAGAGCTAAGTCTCCCACTAGAATTGCAGCTGACTGTTGATCCAATCAGTCAGTTACAAAAGCCAACATTGCGCTCGCGATACTGCATAAGTATGTGCCATTCGAAACAGAATTGGTCACTCACCATTTTCAGTGCAGTTCACCAAACAAAAAAGCACATTGGGCACAACAGAAATAAAGTACATTCCATGTGAAATCCACACTCACATTGTCAACAGGCACTCAGCTCAGTAGCTAGGTGCTGGAGCTTCACATTGTTTTGTTATGTGGTCTTCTTGTTCTTCTTCTTCTTCATCTTCTTTGATCACTGGCTTGTAAGCTCCAGTTGTTCGTCCATTTGGACTTTCGGCTTTTTGCCAGGGCCTGAGTTTACTGGCTTATTTGTGTGGCAGCTGGTTGTTCCTTGCCACCCGGGCAGATGCACTCCGACTTCGAAGGATGTCCCCAGCTAGTTGACCCCTACGACATGCTTTGTTGGGGAGGCAGGAGGTCGATTATTGTTTTCCCCACAAAAGGGCCTCAGAACCCACACAGGGAGTGATGTGGCCAAAGATTGATGACTGCTTCTTCCTGATGTTTGTGATAAGTTGTCTTCACACCATAACCTCTTGTATATAATACATTTATTGCTCTTCTGATCCGGCAATTTCTCCATCATGCTTTCTTTAAAACATGTTGGTGTTACCTTCTCTTTGGAATTAACAAAGCAGGCTGAAAAGGTGGATTTTGCTGCATGGGCAACACAGGTCTCTGCAGGCTTTGTGCTAGAGAGAGGAGAAACATTATCTGTGGCCCTAACCCTCTTTCCCCAAGAAAGTCGGTTTTCTGACTTTTATGGAATTTTTATGACACAAGCTGTGACTCCAGTGGAAAGTTCTGGCTGTTTATCTACCTCTGGACTTTGATCTTGTTCCACAACTTGAGTTTTGTGTGCATATCCATTTTACAGGTTTTATGCAAATGCACTCTGACTGCGAAAGAAATAACCCTGTTTAGTCTACTTGTAAGACATGCTTGTTACAGGGACATTTGTTCTGTACTTATTTTCTCTAAACTGGGGCCCTGAATAATCAGCAAGGACACAAGAGAAGCTAATCAGCAAGGTCACAAGAGAAGACAATCAGCAAGGACACAAGAGAAGACAATCAGCAAGGACACAAGAGAAGATAATCAGCAAGGACACAAGAGAAGATAATCAGCAAGGATATAAGAGAAGACAATCAGCAAGGACACAAGAGAAGATAATCAGCAAGGACACAAGAGAAGACAATCAGCAAGGACACAAGAGAAGATAATCATCAAGGATATAAGAGAAGACAATCAGCAAGGACACAAGAGAAGACAATCAGCAAGGTCACAAGAAAAGATAATCAGCAAGGACACAAGAGAAGATAATCAGCAAGGACACAAGAGAAGACAATCAGCAAGGACACAAGAGAAGACAATCAGCAAGGACACAAGAGAAGACAATCAGCAAGGACACAAGAGAAGATAATCAGCAAGGACACAAGAGAAGACAATCAGCAAGGACACAAGAGAAGATAATCAGCAAGGTCACAAGAGAAGATAATCAGCAAGGACACAAGAGAAGATAATCAGCAAGGACACAAGAGAAGACAATCAGCAAGGACACAAGAGAAGATAATCAGCAAGGACACAAGAAAAGATAATCAGCAAGGACACAAGAGAAGACAATCAGCAAGGACACAAGAGAAGATAATCAGCTAGGACACAAGAGAAGATAATCAGCAAGGACACAAGAGAAGACAATCAGCAAGGACACAAGAGAAGATAATCAGCAAGGAGACAAGAGAAGACAATCAGCAAGGACACAAGAGAAGATAATCAGCAAGGACACAGGAGAAAACAATCAGCAAGGTCACAAGAGAAGATAATCAGCAAGGTCACAAGAAAAGATAATCAGCAAGGTCACAAGAGAAGATAATCAGCAAGGACACAAGAGAAGATAATCAGCAAGGTCACAAGAAAAGATAATCAGCAATGACACAAGAGAAGATAATCAGCAAGGTCACAAGAGAAGATAATCAGCAAGGACACAAGAGAAGATAATCAGCAAGGACACAAGAGAAGACAATCAGCAAGGACACAAGAGAAGATAATCAGCAAGGACACAAGAGAAGACAATCAGCAAGGACACAAGAGAAGATAATTAGCAAGGACACAAGAGAAGACAATCAGCAAGGACACAAGAGAAGATAATCAGCAAGGACACAAGAGAAGATAATCAGCAAGGTCACAAGAGAAGATAATCAGCAAGGTCACAAGAGAAGATAATCAGCAAGGACACAAGAGAAGATAATCAGCAAGGACACAAGAGAAGACAATCAGCAAGGACACAAGAGAAGACAATCAGCAAGGACACAAGAGAAGATAATCAGCAAGGACACAAGAGAAGATAATCAGTAAGGACACAAGAGAAGATAATCAGCAAGGATATAAGAGAAGACAATCAGCAAGGACACAAGAGAAGATAATCAGCAAGGACACAAGAGAAGATAATCAGCAAGGACACAAGAGAAGACAATCAGCAAGGTCACAAGAGAAGACAATCAGCAAGGACACAAGAGAAGACAATCAGCAAGGACACAAGAGAAGATAATCAGCAAGGACACAAGAGAAGATAATCAGCAAGGATATAAGAGAAGACAATCAGCAAGGACACAAGAGAAGATAATCAGCAAGGACACAAGAGAAGACAATCAGCAAGGACACAAGAGAAGATAATCATCAAGGATATAAGAGAAGACAATCAGCAAGGACACAAGAGAAGACAATCAGCAAGGTCACAAGAAAAGATAATCAGCAAGGACACAAGAGAAGATAATCAGCAAGGACACAAGAGAAGATAATCAGCAAGGACACAAGAGAAGACAATCAGCAAGGACACAAGAGAAGACAATCAGCAAGGACACAAGAGAAGATAATCAGCAAGGACACAAGAGAAGACAATCAGCAAGGACACAAGAGAAGATAATCAGCAAGGTCACAAGAGAAGATAATCAGCAAGGACACAAGAGAAGATAATCAGCAAGGACACAAGAGAAGACAATCAGCAAGGACACAAGAGAAGATAATCAGCAAGGACACAAGAAAAGATAATCAGCAAGGACACAAGAGAAGATAATCAGCAAGGACACAAGAGAAGATAATCAGCTAGGACACAAGAGAAGATAATCAGCAAGGACACAAGAGAAGACAATCAGCAAGGACACAAGAGAAGATAATCAGCAAGGACACAAGAGAAGACAATCAGCAAGGACACAAGAGAAGATAATCAGCAAGGACACAAGAGAAAACAATCAGCAAGGTCACAAGAGAAGATAATCAGCAAGGTCACAAGAAAAGATAATCAGCAAGGACACAAGAGAAGATAATCAGCAAGGACACAAGAGAAGATAATCAGCAAGGTCACAAGAAAAGATAATCAGCAATGACACAAGAGAAGATAATCCGCAAGGACACAAGAGAAGACAATCAGCAAGGACACAAGAGAAGATAATCAGCAAGGACACAAGAGAAGACAATCAGCAAGGACACAAGAGAAGACAATCAGCAAGGACACAAGAGAAGATAATCAGCAAGGTCACAAGAGAAGATAACAGGCAAGGACAAAAGAGAAGACAATCAGTAAGGACACAAGAGAAGATAATCAGCAAGGACACAAGAGAAGATAATCAGCAAGGACACAAGAGAAGACAATCAGCAAGGACACAAGAGAAGATAATCAGCAAGGACACAAGAGAAGATAATCAGCAAGGTCACAAGAGAAGACAATCAGCAAGGTCACAAGAGAAGACAATCAGCAAGGACACAAGAGAAGACAATCAGCAAGGACACAAGAGAAAATAATCAGCAAGGACACAAGAGAAGATAATCAGCAAGGTCACAAGAGAAGACAATCAGCAAGGACACAAGAGAAGATAATCAGCAAGGACACAAGAGAAGATAATCAGCAAGGACACAAGAGAAGACAATCAGCAAGGACACAAGAGAAGACAATCAGCAAGGACACAAGACAAGATAATCAGCAAGGACACAAGAGAAGATAATCAGCAAGGACACAAGAGAAGATAATCAGCAAGGACACAAGAGAAGATAATCAGCAAGGACACAAGAGAAGACAATCAGCAAGGACACAAGAGAAGACAATCAGCAAGGACACAAGAGAAGACAATCAGCAAGGACACAAGAGAAGATAATCAGCAAGGACACAAGAGAAGACAATCAGCAAGGATATAAGAGAAGACAATCAGCAAGGACACAAGAGAAGATAATCAGCAAGGACGCAAGAGAAGATAATCAGCAAGGACACAAGAGAAGATAATCAGCAAGGACACAAGAGAAGATAATCAGAAAGGACACAAGAGAAGATAATCAAAGTTGAACTAGGACATTACTTAGTTCCCATTTAAGGTTTGCTTGATCTGGGAACCAGGCTACCAAAAAACTAGCCACACTGCAGATTGGAACCAAAGACGTTTGGGGCAGAAGGTGAGTACCTAGCCACTACACTACCACAACTTCTTAGGTTATATATAAAACAACCTAACAGAATTTTTTTTTTTTCAGCATCTCTTAAAAGAAGACATCAAACCATTAAGGGTGTATCCGTTCGTCTACCTTGCAGTCTCAGTCTTTCCACTCATAAACAGGTAAGCAAGGGAAGTAAGTCAAAGACTGATAAACAGGTAAGCAAGGGAAGTAAGTCAAAGACTGATAAACAGGTAAGAAAGGGAAGTAAGTCAAAGACTGATAAACAGGTAAGAAAGGGAAGTAAGTCAAAAACTGATAAACAGGTAAGCAAGGGAAGTAAGTCAAAGAATGATAAACAGGTAAGCAAGGGAAGTAAGTCAAAGACTGATAAACAGGTAAGAAAGGGAAGTAAGCCAAGGACCCTCTTCCACCCCTTGAAGTAGTCTGGAACTATGGTACTAGTTCTGTATATTCTTAGAAAGAGGATTGGAAAGTAAGGGTCCTAATTTCTTCTTCTTCTACTTCGTGTTCACCAGCTGTAAACTGGTGGAAAGTTCTGGTTGTTCGCCCACTTCTGGACTGCAGTCCTGTCCCAGAACCTGAGTGTTGTGTGTGCATCCTTTTGACAGATGTGACTCATTTGTGTGCAGACTGTTAGTTCCTTGCCTTTCAGGCAGATGCACTCCGACTTCAAAGGAAGCTCCCAATTAGTAAACTCTTACGACATGCTTTTTTGTAGGCAGTGGGTCTATTCTTGTTTTCCCTTTAATAGGACCCCTGAATCCACACGGGGCCCTCCCTACTTTGTTTAATATTTGTTTATTAACAGCTTTTATCAGTTACAAATTTCTGTATAACAACTTGTTTCAGTTACAGTCGCCTATACAGCAACAGCTTTTATCAGTTACATTTTCTGTACAGTAGCAGCTTTTATCAGTTACAGTTGCCTGTATAATAGCAACTACTTTCATCACTTACAATTTACTGTATATAAACAAATTTTTATCAGCTACAATTTCCTGTATATTAGTAGCTTTTATTAGCTATCTGTGCGTAAATAGTTATAACAGATTACTTTTGTACACTTACAGAATACAGAACGCGATTGCCCTAGACTCTGCTGTGTTCGCTCTCGTATTGCTGGCATCCATCTCGGCCCCACTACATGGTACGTTGTCATTGTCAGGGTTTCAAGTCCCAGGACTTTTATCATGTTTTGTGTATATTTTTGTGTATTATGTATTATATTTTGCTATACCGTACGTACATTTATGATCTCCTCTGCACATTTCTTCTGTGTTTGTTCTTAACTCTTTACGGACTATTGACCGCTTAAGTTGCTTTTGGAATCAACCCCGTTTGGACAGAAAATGTTATAATGTGTTATGATGGTTTCTGTGTCAGTGTACTGTACATTTATGATGATTTCTGTGTCAGTGTACTGTACATTTATGATGTTTTCTGTGTCACTGTACTGTACATTTATGATGTTTTCTGTGTCAGTGTACTGTACATTTATGATGTTTTCTGTGTCAGTGTACTGTACATTTATGATGTTTTCTGTGTCACTGTACTGTACAATTATGATGTTTTCTGTGTCACTGTACTGTACATTTATGATGTTTTCTGTGTCACTGAACTGTACATTTATGATAATTTTTGTGTCACTGTACTGTACATTTATGATGTTTTCTGTGTCACTGTACTGTACATTTATGATGTTTTCTGTGTCACTGAACTGTACATTTATGATAATTTTTGTGTCACTGTACTGTACATTTATGATGTTTTCTGTGTCACTGTACTGTACATTTATGATGTTTTCTATGTCACTGTACTGTACATTTATGATGTTTTCTGTGTCACTGTACTGTACATTTATGATGTTTTCTGTGTCACTGTACTGTACATTTATGATGTTTTCTGTGTCATTGTACCCTACAATTATGATGTTTTCGCACTCACTCTATCATACATTTATGATGTTTTCTGTGTCACTGTACCATACATTTATTTTTTATGTGTCACTGCACCATACATTTATCATGTTTTCTGACTCATCTGCCATACATTTATCAAGTGTTCTGAATCACTCTGCCTTACATTTATCATATTTTCAGAGTATAAAAATAATGGTATTCCTGCAGTCTGTCTGATAGTATCATTTCTCACTTTTGTTTTCTTTTTGTTGTTGTTTGTTGCTATAACAACATCGTCCAGAAAGACAGAAATTTGCCAACAATAACTAGTAGAAACCTGATAAATACTTTCTGTACAGGTGCCTTGAATGCGATTGCTTTTGGCCTTGACAAGGAGACCTTGTTTAAACTCAGACCAAACCAGATCAAGGTAAGGAGAAGATCCAGTTGCTGGACCACATAATTGGATATGTTTATATACTGTATTTACCTGTGTTTGGCCGCACACATGTATAGGCCACACCCAGTTTCTGAGTCAATAATTGTAGGACAAAATAATTTGGGCCAAAAGACTAAAACCCAACCAGTAGTACCTGTAAGCAGGGAAGGATTGGCTGTGTAAAAGCAAGTCTTCTTCTTCTTCAGCATTCCAAGCCCTTGAGGTTTCATTGCTGCAGATATCACCTGCCTCAATTCATCTTTCTGGTTGACCTTCTTCAGCATTCCGAGCCCTTGAGGTTCATTGCTGCAGATATCACCTGCCTACATTCATCTCTCTGGTTGGCCTTCTTTTTCAGCATTCCGAGCCATTGAGGTTCATTGCTGCAGATATCACCTGCCTCCATTCATCTCTCTGGTTGACCTTCTTCAGTATTCTGAGCCCTTGAGGTTCATTGCTGCAGATATCACCCGTCTTCATTCATCTCTCTGTTTAGCCTTCACTTTTCAGTTGGTGACACCAAGTATTTGCAGGTCTGTCTGGATATTAACACTACATTATCTTCTTTGTCTGCCTCATGGTCTACGACCATTCATCTCCCTCGTCCCATGGAAACAAGTCATAGATGTAAATTTGAGTTACAAGTAGAGATATATATGCAAGTAAATGTAAAGCCGGTTAAAGCTGGGCAGGGCGCTTTATAGTATAAAATTACCACGCTATTTGGCAGTGGACAACAGTGGTGCAGCGACTTCCCAACACCTGGCAAGAGAAACTGTTTGGTTCCAAAGACGTGTTCTGAAGTTATAGAAGACACACAGCTACAGCATGGGGGCAATCGGAAATTCAGGCAAATCTTCCATTTGTTAATAAATTTGGTATAAGTGACATATAAGCCTCATCATCATCATGTAGCAGGTCCTTTGCAGAAATTCGCTCTCATCATGGTCTGCCTGAAAGAAACTCGGTCTCTCGCCAGTTCTCTCGCCTCGTGTACTTTCATACTCAAGAAGTCACTTATATCCTGTGCCCATCTTCGTGTTTGTTGGCCCCCTCCTTCCTGGCACCATGCCTTCTGCTATAATTTTTTCCAATCCGTCGTGGCGCTTGATATGACCAAAATATTTCTGCTTCCGAGACAGGATGCTGTTTATTAGCTACTCTTCCTCGATATTCAGATCTTTCAAGATGTCAATATTTCTCCTCTTCATATAAGCCTAATATCTCAAATATAAGCCGTAAGATATTATATAATGATTTTCGGTTTAAATACTGAGGCATTTTACATGTAAATACAGTTTGCTCAAGTAGTCGTATTTCTTTTTATTCTTCAGCTTGTCATCTCTCTAGGTTATAGAAAGACATGACTACTGGCGCCACACAGCGTTGACTATTAAGGTTTAGGTTTAAACAATGGATCAATATCATGGCTCAGGGGTAGTAACCCATAAGTGCTCCGTTCTACTTCTAACTCAAGCCTGAGTCCAAAGAATCTCAGCGCAGTGCACAAACTTCGTAGCACTGGCAAGGATCCTAAAATACTTTGGGTAGATTTTTAACTTTAAATTTTGCCCAGTCAGTGCTGTTAGGCTATTCTTTTCGATTTCCAACTGCAAAGGGATTCTTTTTTACGTGCACAACAGTACACCGGGGCGTCCATTCTTACTACCTAGAGACCAGGGGAAATTACCAAAAGTCCATGTGAAAAAATCCCAGCCTTCAAGGGGGCCTGAACCCGGGAGCTCGAGCACTCGAAGCAGACGCTTTGCCCAGAGACCACTTATCCCTTTAACATTGACTGTAAGAAGAACAAAGTCATTGGGACAAGTTTCATTTGATCATTACTTGTGTGTTGTTCACTCTTAAATTGCATTAAGTTTTTATTGGTAATTTATACTTAATTTTTGATTGCTAATTTATATTTTTTTGGTGTCAGCTTGCTTTTCAGGCAAAGATGGCGCCCAGATCCAGTGTTAAAGAATACCCACAGCCTTCGATGGACACTGATGAGCTTCATGAGTAGGGGAATGGGATGAGATGTCTGTTGCCTGGTTATAATGTCTCCTATCTTGAACTTAGAGATGGCATTTCAAGTTGCTGTGAAACACTAATGGAAACAGCAGAACCCTATCAAAATTATTTTGTAAATTGTATTTTTTCAGAACCACAGAAGATCATGCTCATTATAATTGTCATCCTTCTTTTTCTGGGAGCCACCATGGCTTAGCGGCAAGATGCTCGCCTGCGGACCCGAAAGTCATGGGTTCAAATCTGCAGTGTGTAGAATTTTTTTTTTTTAATGATTTGTTTGAAATATGGCCTTGGCTCCCAGGTCGACCCAGCATTAACTGGGTACTAGGTAAAGTCCTGGGAAGTAAAAGCAGCCAGCGTGATGTTGACAGCATCAGGCATAGCATGTAAAAGGACTTTTTACCCTTCTTTTTCTACTGCATTTGCTCTTAAGTGGCCGGTTGACACGATGTGTAGTGGTTTGCAGCTAGGCTGCATTATCTGTCTTTTGGCCTTTACACCCAGTTTCAACAAAAACCCAAATTAGACGCCTTTTATGATATGCTTTTTAGGGGAGCACTGGTCTAACCCCCCCACACCCCCCCCCCCCCTTTTTTTTCACCCTTTTTCCCTTGTGGGCCCTGGCACAAAACGGAAGAGCCAGATGTTATGCTTCTCGGAGGCAGAATGTTAACATTTAGTAAGCTTGAGAACTGGTGAAATTAATCTTCGCAGACGAGGACATAAGAGTGCATGGGCATTCACAGCTCGCTCTTCAGGCAGAAGAGTTCAAGAAGCCAGCGGTGCCTTCTTCTTGACCACCAGCAGCATGAGGATGGAGGTGATGGCTGTGACACAAGCTTTCATGTGGCTAGAATCGCAGGACTATTTTCGCGTGTGTGTGTTTAGTGATTCTTTGAGCATGATCCGACGGGTCGAGGCAGGCTGGTTAAGCAGTCAGTGGTTTGAGTCATTGCAAAACTCTCCTGTATGTGCAGTTACCTTCATATTCATCCCAGAGCATGCAGGCGTTGGTAATGAAAGAGCTGATAGACTGGCAGGTGCTGCGTTAATTGAAGATGGCCGGCCCATGGATCACGCAGACATTGTTTTTGCCCTTAGAGAGATAGGACGTTCTGTTTCTGAGGATTTTGGAAGCACAGTGTTCACATCACTGCTAAGAATACGAAAATTGGGAGTGAAGATCGGCATAGTCAAGCAATAGAAGCACACTGGGTGTCCTGCCACGTTCTGTCTCAGCAGAATGGCTAGCTAGCTCCTGCCAAAAGCATTGCACAAATCACAAACTCCACAACTCCAGTGTTGATCTAAATGAATCTCCATGAAAATTGTACTCATGATGCAGTCCGTGTAATGAACCCATTACCTTTAGAGTTTGAGGCCGGTGACTTGACCACATCGTCATAGATACTCCCTTTTTGAAAGTTGTATTGTTGCTTGTTGTTGTTTTAAAAAAAAGCCATTACTGCCTATATTTGCTACTTTTGTGATGGAAGGGGGAGGGTTCGAGGCTGAGGACTTAGGACCCCATGGCTGGTGCTGTTGCCATGGACTGTTCAGGTGAGCATTTATTTTAGGTTTTAAAGAGCGCATTTTCCTGTCTTGAGACTGCTGTATTCATGGTGATTTCCTTTTATTTTTATAAAGTAACTGCACTGCTTGGACATTAACTAAAGAACACAAAAGAATACTGACCACCTGAGAAATGAGATATTTGAGAAAGGCCAAGAACAAAATTAGAAGAGATCCTGTGAGAAACGATGGAATTTCAAGAATTGTTGGAACAACACCTATAATTAAATTAATTGACAAACAAAGACTGAAATGGTTTGGCCATTGAATGGGAATGAATCCAATGATGCCAGCATTGAGAGCGTACAGCATGAAACTAGAGACACCAAGAGGTAGGGGACGACCAAGAAGAAGATGGATCGAAGGAGTCACTGATATCTTGAGACTCCAGACATCACAGCATGCTGAGCATGTCCTAGATTAGATGCTATTCATATGGTAACTTTTGGCATAGACTTCCGGTCAGTATGGAGGATAGGCAGTTTTACTGTTTTTAGAAGTGGTAAGTTTTTGCTGTTGACAATAGTTGTCGTTGCATTTTTCTCCATAAGCTTAGACTGAGAAGATTTAGTTTCAGCACCCAGCTACCTAGCTGAGTGCATGGCACGACACTCTGAGCTGCAGATTTATTTTGGAATGCTTTTTGACTGTGCCAATATGGTTTGCATTGTGAACTGTTTATTACGAAAATGACAAGTGGCCTGTTGCCACAGAACTGGTGGTGCCTTTTTGTGATTAGTTTGTTGAAACTGCAACTTTCATCAATGATAAACTGCATTTCTAGTGTTAGACTATTTGTGTTGGCACTTCTGATAACTGCCTTTTGCATTTAATGTGTATGTACGCTGTTGAATTTGCTGAAACTGCAATCTGTTTCAGTTTTTCCACAAGGAACAGTGATGGATGTTCTGTGTGGTTTTTGTTGGTATAGGTTTGCTATGAAATTAAAACTGATTTAGTCAGATTACTTATGACATAAAGAAGAATATGGACAAAGAGAAAATTCGCACTCATTATGTGGTGTGATCACAGCATGCTCACTGCATTTGTTTCCCAAATTATTTCCGGGTTCCTGTTCTAGACTACATGGATCTCGGAGCCTGTGTTTGTTGTGTACAATCTAAATCTGTGGGGTTTTAAACATGTGACATCCACGCCAGCCTGGGTTTTGCTTTAGAGTGTTCAGCATAAGGGCCTGTGAGCTGAAATTCTATAGAAAGATTCTCAGAATATCCTGGATAAAGATGAAGAGACATACTGATATTTCAAAAGATATGAACATCGAGGAAGATTGGCTAATAAACAGCATCTTGTCTCGGAAGCTGACATTTTTTGGTGTTTTCAAGCACTATGGCAGAATGAAAAAAATAATAGCAGAAGGCATAGTACCAGGAAGGAGGGGCAGGGGCCGACCGACACGAAGATGGGCACAGGATATGAGTGACTCCGTGAATATGAAAGTACACGAGGCGGGAGAACTGGCGAGAAACTGAGTTTCTTTTGGGCAGACCGTGATGAGAGCGACGTTCTGCAAAGGACATGCTACATGATGATGTTATTTAGTTTTAGACTAAGAATTGACGTCATAGCACATGGGTCATTCCCATAAGCACTCCATCTTCATCTTCAGCAGCCAGTGAAGGGTCGCAGTTCTGAAGGTTAAAGTAACAATTTGATATGTCTGTCTTGCATTTCCTCTTAAAGTAGAGGGGCGATTGTATCCCCTGGTCTTTTCTAGATGTACCATTTTCTTCAGACCATAATAGTCGATTCCTGCCTCCACACCTTCGAAAAGAAAGTTAAGATTTGAACCCCATAACGTTCACATCCAGAGGTAACATCACGATGGCTCCCGCCTTATGCATTTAATGCATGTGAATGCTGTTGGTCAGCATCTGTGGTTTAGGCGTTGTGAATGTACTTTGTAATATCGGTGCCGGGTTCAATCCCAGCTGCAGGCAGTTGGGCAGCAGAACATCTTGCGTTAGTTTCTACCCAGAGCTGACCATTGAGAAAGCAGTGGCAAACTACTAAACATAAAATTTGCCTAAAAAAACCACAACAGCAAAAAAAATATGGATATCGTTCTGCAAAGTACTGTAAAAGATACTCAAGTAACTTTTTATCTGTTGACTCTTTTGTGAGTTTTTCACAAGAGACTAGGATAGGCAGTGTCTAGTGTTTTAATCCGTGCAGGAATGGGTCAGTTATGGAGCGACCCGGGTGCTGTAAAGTTGGACCCCATAAATACCTGTTTGTTTATATTACAATCAGACATCAGTATCTGTCCTGGTGCTATGTTTTTTTACAGCTTGTTTGTGCCATGGATTATTTTACTTTTGTTGTTGCTGTCACAAACAAAAAAGGACAGATAAAACCACAGTTAAAGTTTATGAAGCTTGCGTCCAGAGCGGGCTCCTTTTAGGGCAGCAAAACCTGGACTCTGTATTCTGCTCGAGAAAAAAGACTGATCACCTTACACATGCGTAGAAGAGAGGTAGAATAGACACATTCTTGGTAAATCATGGTGAGACTTTCCGCAAAGAATGCTAGCAGTGTACTTTCTACTGAAGCAATGACACCAGAATTAGTTAAGAAGGTCTCTCTTTTTCTTCTTTCGTTCGCCTGAAATAAGTTGTCTATATCAGCAGTTTTTTCTCTTGTATAAATTTCACTGTCATTGTAAGTTCATTCAGTGGTCCATAGAGTTTACGTTCCACTGTTGTTCTTTCTGGCCAAAAGGTTTGCCTTTATGTATCAAATTTGGTGCAGTCCTGGAGTACATGCTCTGCTGTCTTAGGCACCTTTCCAAAGGTTCACATGGCTAATACGCCTATCTTGAATCTTGTGTACATGTGAGTGTCTCTCTCATTGAGGACAATCACAGTCCAGAGAATCTCCTGTAATGTGAACTGATAACAGGGATAAGATCTACAGGAAAGACAATGCTACGATATAAGGAGTGACCTGAAAGATATCACCATTGACACAAACACTTAGGAGAAAGCTGCAGACCGACTCCTTAGGAGGCATACAGTGAAAGACGGACTGCAGCAGTTTGAAAGAAGCCGAAAGCAGCAAGCTATAGAGAGTGGATGACTGAGAGAAGGCCAGCCTCAGAATGACACAGTATCAACATTTCGATGTGGATAATGTGGCAGAAACTGTCACTTCCAAACTGGATTTTACAGTCATCTTCTTCTTCTGCATTTCTATCCCCCAATGGAGCATAGGCCCTCAACCAACTCACGCCAAGTCGTTCTATCCTTCGCTATTACATGGAGCTCTCCCCATGAGCTCTCCATCTTTCTAACTTCATTCTCCAGCTCTCTTCTCCATGTGTTTTTTGGCCTTCCTTTATTCCTATGCCCCTGTAGGTTCCAATGCAAAGACATTCTAGTTATGCTGTTCTCCTGTTTT